AAACCAGACAAGGCAGGTCATGTTTGGTTGTGATGGTGTCAGAGCCTGAGGGCACACTCACCTTCACAATGAGGCCTCCCGCAGCCTAGGGAGATTCCCCCCACCCTCCAGCCCTCATGACAGGAGCGGAGAGAGCTGGCAGAAGAGGGTGATAGGGGCATTGGTGGGCCCCCTATAAGATGTGGGGCTCACAGTGTCACACAAAAGACACCCTTCTCGTGCTCCCATCAGAGCCTGACCAAGAGCCTCTGTCATTGAATTAGCAACTCAGGGGCCTGTTTAAGCAACTGCTATGATTCCCACTGAGACAAAGGGGCTTTTGTTCAATTCCAAAAGGCCTGTTTGTAGGAGGCTTTTCCATAGGACTCAGGTGAGTTATGGTAAAGAGGCTCAGGTTTCAGGACCTGGTCCCTCCTCTGGGCTCTCATGTATGTGTCACTGCATTTCACAGGCCTTCATCCTGAATCCTGGCTGAGAGAGGGGCTATGGTGGGCTTGGCTTTTAGGAGCAGCAGGGCTGGGGAGAGTGGAGGGCATCTTATGTGGCATTAGGCTGTGAGGGAGGCCCAGCCCAGGTGCACACAGAGCCCAAGTACCAGGTGGGCAGGCATGGCTCACCTGGGGTGGGGGCCTAAGCAGGGCCCATAGCTGGAGCAGTGTCCCAAGGCAGGAAATGAGGGTCTGGGGTTAGTGGAAGGTGGGCCTCCCTGCCCAGGTCAGTAAGTACCCTGTATGGATGCCATGTGGCCTGGGGAGACCAATTTGCCAGGGTCACGTGAGCACAGACAGCCCTGTCCTTGCAATACATATGTCCACTTGGCTAGGCAATAGTGCCTGGTTGCTTGGTCAAACACCAGTCTAGATGTTCCTATGAAAGTGTTTTTTTAGATATGATTAATATTTAAATCAGTAGGCTTTGAAAAAAGCAGATTACTCTCCATAATGTGAATAGGCCTCATTCAATCAGTTGAAACCCTTCAGAGAAAAGGATGAGGTTCCCCAAAGAAGGAATCTGGCCTCACGGCTGCAATATAGAAACCTTGCCTCAGTTCACAGCCTGCCTGGCCGGCTCTTCAGATTTCTCAGTAGAGATGACAATATCAACTCTTACCTGAATTTCTAGCCTTCAGGATAATTCTACAGGTTTAGGACTTGCCAGCTGCCACAATCACATAAATTAATTCAGTCTCTCCTTCTTGCTCTTTTTGTAATTGGTACGGTTTCTGGATAGCCCTGACTAATGCAGGTATCATAATTTTTGTATTCAAAACTTTATATTATGATTTCTGCTTCAAGACTATGATGAAATAACTGGTACCACACTAAACAACCATGATAAACATAAAAACACACAAAAAATAGATGAGACAACCATTTGTAGACATCAGACAAAAGGCAGCACAGAAATTCAATCCTGAGAAAAGGCAGATTCATGAGCTGAGTTCCATGAATGCCCTGCCTCTTGGCCTGAGGACATTTTTCTAACTAATGCAGTGAGTAGGAAAGGCAGAGATAAGGAAATAAATAAATAAAGTCTACTTAGAACTAGCAAAGCTTAAGCCAAGCCCTGACAAGAGTTACTGGGGAGACAGAATTTGGAGGTTGATTTGTCAAGTTAGATTACCTCAGAAAATAAGTTAGGCTTTCTACAGATCTGTGTTAACAAAGAGTAGAACCCAGCCTACACAAATTCAAGGTGATCAGCTGGTAATTGACTTATTGACCAGAACAAAAACTCTTCAGTGGAAGGTAACACAATACTTACCTTTCACAATGAATTAGGATCAATGTCTAATTATGTGATTAAAATTATATATATTAGGCATGCAAGGGAAAATAGAACAGAAAAAATCAGAGTCAATGAAGAATGTATACAACAGAAACCAACTTCAAATGGTCAGGTATTAGATTAGCAAACAAAAAATGTTTTATTAAGCAGCTATTACAAATCTATTCAGAGAACTGAAGAAAGATATGGTCAAGTAACAACAACAAAAAATATGTTCAAAATGTAATGAATGAATAGACTCTACAGAAAAGAAAACTATATGGAAATTACAGAAATAAAAAGTACAATCACAAAATTGAAAGTACAATCACAAAAAGTACAATCACTGAATTGCCTTAAGACAGCTATTTTGATATGAAAGGAGAAATGGTCAGTAGGCTTATGGATGAATCAACAGAATTACCCAATCTGAAAAACAAAGGAAAAAATGGCTGAAGATAAATGCACAAAGTTTATCAGGGAACTGAGGCACAACCTCAGATAGTCTGACATGTCTGTAAGAACTCTAGAATAAAAAGAAGATGAGAATGAGGCAGAAAAGATTTGAAGAATTAAAGGCTGGAAAATTCCCAAATGTGATGAAAATCATTTATTTATATATCCAGGAGTCTCAGGGTACATGAAGAAGGATAAATGCTCAAAAACCCACATATAAACACACCAGAGTCACAGTGGTTACAACCAAATATAAAAAGAAAATCTCAACTGATTCGGTAGAAACCACATGTTATATACAGAGATCAATAGTAAGAATAAATGCTGACTTCTCAAAATTAATAATGGAAGCCAAAAGATACTGGAACAATTTTCAAGTGCTAAAAGAAAAGAGAAATAGAATTCTGTAAGGACAATATCCTTCAAAAAGGGAGGATGAAATAGAGCTATATTTTGTTAAAAGCTCTTTTTAGATAAGTACCAGCAAACCTACATTATGAGAAATCCTAAAGGATATTTGTCAGGCTTATGGTGAATGATACCAGATGGAAACTTTGACCCATAGGAAGAAACAAAGACAACCAGAAATTCTATTATGCATTTAAGGGAGGTGCAATACTAATTTTACTCAGTTTTTCAGAAAATAGAGAAAGGGAGAAAGAACACTTCCCTAATCACTTTTTAAGGTCAAACAATAAAAGCTGACAAAGAATTTGTGGAAAATTTAAAATGTAGACCAGTATTAGCTATCATCATAGATTCAAAACTCCAGATCAAATACTAGAAAATGAAATCCAGACTTATATATAAATGATAATTCAAAATGATCACATACATTATCCCTATAATGCAAAGTTGGCTCAGCATTTGAAATTAAATATGATTTACCATATTAACATGTAAAAGAGGAAAAGATTATATGATCATCATTATATCTCCATTATTTCAATAGAGGCAGGAAAATATTTTGAAAAGATCAAATACTCGTTCATGATAAAGGAAAAGAAAGAAGGAAGGAGGAAAGAGGGAAGGAAGGAAATGAAATAAAGGGATAAAAGGCTTGTAGCAAACTAGAAATAGAAAGCATCACCCTCAAACTAGTAAAAACATTTACAAAATACCTATAGATAACATCATATTTGATGATGAAAAATGGAATACTTTATTTATCACAGCCCTAACTGAACCATCAGCAGGTGAATGGATAATGAAATAATGGTACATCCATTCAATTAAGTACTACTCAGCAGTAAAAAGAATGAACATGCACACACATACACACAAATAAACACAAATGAATCTCAAAATCGCTATACAGAACAAAAGAAACCAGATATAAAATAGTGCTTATAATATGGTTTGATTTATATAAAATTGGAGAACCTGAAAAACTAATGTATAAAGCTTATTTATGCTTAATATACATACATAGTTGCTATACAAAACTATTGCATAGTCCTAAAAATAAGTGGTTATTTCATTTAGTATAATACCCTTTAGATCTATCCATGTTGTCACAAATGGCAGGATTTCTTTCTTTTTGATGGCTGAATAATATTCCATTGTGTATATATACCACTTCTTCTTTATCCATTAATCTCTAACTGCACCAGTAGGGGTTAATAATGTAGGTAACTATTAAACCACTGTGTTGTGTACTTTAAATATAAGATTGTGTATCAACTATACTTCAATTAAAGAAAATAAATAAAAAAGATCAGGATTCATGAAATATGCAAAAGCCATAAGGGAACTTTCTGGGGTGACATAAATGCTCTATCTATATTTTGGTTAGGGCTATGGTTAACAAGTGCATAGATGTATCAATTATCAAACTGTCAACTTCAAAAGAATGGCTTTTTTCATTTAGATTATACCTCAATAAAGTTGATTAAGATGTATACTATCAAAATCTAACATAAAGAATTTGTTCTTTATAGTCTAAATTATGATAGAGAATAGACATAGCTAGATATTACAGATATCAAAGAAACAGTGAAAAGCAATACAACATATTAACTAAGGTATGAAAGGGATTTCAGGCAATTTTCATCTTTGTAATTATAACTGACAAACATTTTAATTTACAAACTTGCTAAAAATAATCATGCTGTAAGTTAAAAAAGAGGGATATGAAAAACAAAATCAAATATCTGATAAATGATAAAATATCTGATATGTGGTAGATTTTCAGGATATGTTTTGAACTTCCTTGCAGCTCTTTCTTTTTTATACTCTCTTTTACCAATTTACCACATTTCCGGTGTCTTGTGCCTTTACTTCTCTTTTTCTGATTCCCATTATACAACACACATTTCTCCATATCAGATCTGATGATTTTGATGAGAACTTTTTTGTTAATTCAATTCAAGTCATTACCAGAAATCTCCAAGGAATTAATGATAAAGTTTGCACAATACTGAAGCTAACCGAGCCATACACAAAAACAAGATGATAAGAAAATAGAATGTGACTCCACTGTAGTAGCATTTTTTTCATTTCTCCAGACCTCAGCTCAGCCAGGACCACAGTTTTTTACATGCCTCTTGGAATATCAACATCAGCCGGCTCTGAGAGAAACTCTGCCTAAGATCCATAAAGGTAAACTTACACTCAAGGGATCCTCTCAGAGGAAGGCCTGAAAGAAAGCATGGTTTACACAAACTGGCAGTCATTGGTCAAATCCTTCTGTTGTGTTTTTTTTCTTTTGGAAGCCAGCTGGGGAGGCTCCCCTTTTCTTATCTGCCCTTAATGAAGGAAAGCCTTTGTGATCCTACCTTTGGCAATCCAGGAAATCAGTACATCCATTCTAGCAGACACATTGCTCTCTAAGAGGGAAATGGCAGCACAGGGCCCCCAGGTGACTGCAGAGTTAATGCTGGTTGATACCGGAGGAGACTAAAAATGAAAAACAACAAAAATACTTGCTGATTGTATTTCCCTTTATAGTGTTTCCTCTCTTAAATTTTTATATATCTCTTAGGAAGATGTTTCTAAAAGACTACAGAAAAAAAGCATATAAAGACTGGCTGGAAGGCTGTTAACTTTATTTGCTGACAACTTGATAGGTTAAGTTTAAAATACTAAAACAGACATTAAAAACAAAAGAATTCTATTACCAGAATTATTGTTGCAGTTCCAAAAGTTACAATGTCAATAAAGATTAATTTTATTTCTATATAGTAACCACAAATAATTGGAAAATTATAATAAAAATTACCACTATTTTAAAGATGTAAGATTGGATTTCTTGATTAGGGATAAATTTAACAAAAAAATAAAATAAAATATCTGTATACTGAAAACTAGAAAACATTGCCTGAGAAATTACAGACCCAAACAAATGAAGAGACATATCAAGTTCACACAATGGAAGACTGAATACTGCTAAGGTCTTCTCCATTTTGATCAAAGCGTGTATTCTCAACATGGGTGATAGACCCCAAAGAAGTGAACTGGTAGTTTGGGGGCAAAGAAATCCTTAGATGTTCCAATGTCTTGTCACTTTCCAAAGTCCAACCCTCCTGATAAAATCTTATACATTACTGTGTAATTTATCTTACTTCAGTGAATTTAAATATAATTTATTTTTTTTCTCCTAGGTGTTAGGAGGATAACAAACAAAAGACAGAACTAAAGGTAAAATATCTGTACACTGAAAGTGAACTAAAAACCCATGATAATCCCAAAACTCCAGCAGGGTTTTAATAAATTGGCAAAATGGGATGCCACCACACATCTACTAGAATGGCTATTACTCACAATTGCAATGTATGGCAAAGATGTGAAGCAGCTGATATGCTTATGCATCACTGGTTGGAATGTAAAAGAGTACAAAAATTATTAAAAATAGTTTCTTATAGAGTTTAACATCTGCTTACTACACAATCCATCAATATCACTTTTAGCAAATTTCCCAAGAGAAATGGAATCATATTCACAGAAAGACTAGTATAAGAATGTCCATATTTCATCACTATTATCTCAAAGTTAGAATCAATCTACAAGACCATGAAGTAGAGAATGTATAAAATAAGAATATAGTATATTCAGGAGGGATGGAGCCAAGATGGCAGCATGAGTAGGACAGCAGGAATCTCCTCCCAAAAACATATATATTTTTGAAAATACAACAAATACAACTATCCCTAAAAGAGAGACCAGAAGATACAGGACAACAGCCAGACTAAATCCACACCCGCGAGAACACAGTGCCTGGCAAAGGGGGTAAGATACAAGCCCTGGCCCAGCAGGACCTGAGCGCCCCACACCCCAGCTCCCAGCGGGAGGAGAAGAGTTGGAGCGGGGAGGGAGAGGGAGCCCAGGACTGCTAAATAGCCAAACCTAGCCATCCGCACCCAGCGTGCACACACACAGTGAGTGGGGTGCTGGATACTAGGGAAACAGGACAGTAAGACCTGTGAGTGGGTGCCCGCTGCTGGTACCCTGGGGATAAAGAAAAGTGAGTGCTTTTTAAAAGTCTTAAAGGGACAGGAATGCCACAGCTGGATGGAAGTGTCCCGGGACACTTACCCCAGAAGTTGGGGAATCCCGGGGAACTCCAGGCACGCTAACCCCGTGGGCAGCAGCTCTGAGACAACTCACAGCGATAAACAGCCCCACGCCCATTTGCCCTCCAGCGTTGCCCCGCCATAGCAGAGCAGCGGCCTGAGCTGGCCACACCCACAGCAAGGGAGCTTCCTCCATAGTGGCCAGGCAAGAAACAGAGACCCAGTCTACACGCAACTGCCCAACACAAGCCACTAAGGGTCGCCGTTGTCCCAGTAAAGAAAGGCCAGGAGCAAGTGGAAAGGGTCTTGACTCTCCCAGGTGACAGACGAGTCAATAGCATACCACTGCATCTATCAACATGAAAAGGCAAAAAAATTTGATCCAGAAGAGACTAACCCAGACATCTTCCACATCTTCCCCTGAGAAGGAATCTGGGGAGATAGATTTAACCAATCTTCCTGAAAAAGAATTCAAAACAAAGGTCATAACCATGCTGATGGACTTGCAGAGAAATATGCAAGAACTAAGGAAGGACAATACAGAAATAAACCAATCTCTGGAAGGACTTCAAAGCAGAATGGATGAGATGCAAGAGGCCATTAATGGAATAGAAATCAGAGAACAGAAACACAGAGAAGCTAATGCAGAGAGAGATAAAAGGATCTCCAGGAATGAAAGAATATTAAAAGAACTGTGACCAATCAAAATGGAACAATATTCGCATCACAGAAATACCAGAAGAAGAAGAGAGAGAAGAAGGGATAGAAAGTGTCTTTGAAGAAATAATTGCTGAAAACTTCTCCAAACTAGGGGAGGAAATGGTCTCTCAGACCACAGAAGCACACAGAACTCTGATGACAAGGGACCCAAGGATGGCAACACCAAGACATATAATAATTAAAATGGCAAAGATCAAAGACAAGGACAGAGTATTAAAGGCAACCAGAGAGAAAAGAAAGCAACAGGATACACATTCTTCTCAAGTGCACATGGAACATTCTCCAGAATAGACCACATACTAGCTCACAAAAAGAGCCTCAGTAAATTCCAAAATATTGAAATTCTACCAACCAATTTTTCAGACCACAAAGGTATGAAAGTAGAAATAAATTCTACAAAGAAAACAAAAAGGCTCACAAACACATGGAGGCTTAACAACATGCTACTAAATAATCAATGGATCAATGAACAAATCAAAATAGAGATCAAGGAATATATAGAAACAAATGACAACAACAACACTAAGCCCCAACTTCTGTGGGATGCAGCGAAAGCAGTCTTAAGAGGAAAGTATATAGCAATCCAGGCACACTTGAAGAAGGAAGAACAATCCCAAATGAATAGTCTAACATCACAATTATTAAAACTGGAAAAAGAAGAACAAATGAGGCCTAAAGTCAGCAGAAGGAGGGACATAATAAAGATCAGAGAAGAAATAAACAAAATTGAGAAGAATAAAACAATAGCAAAAATCAACGAAACCAAGAGCTGGTTCTTTGAGAAAATAAACAAAATAGATAAGCCTCTAGCCCAACTTATTAAGAGAAAAAGAGAGTCAACACAAATCAACATAATCAGAAATGAGAATGGAAAAATCACGACAGACTCCACAGAAATACAAAGAATTATTAAAGACTACTATGAAAACCTATATGCCAACAAGCTGGAAAACCTAGAAGAAATGGACAACTTCCTAGAAAAATACAACCTCCCAAGACTGACCAAGGAAGAAACACAAAAGTTAAACAAACCAATTACAAGCAAAGAAATTGAAACAGTAATCAAAAAACTACCCAAGAACAAAACCCCGGGGCCGGACGGATTTACCTCGGAATTTTATCAGACACACAGAGAAGACATAATACCCATTCTCCTTAAAGTGTTCCACAAAATAGAAGAAGAGGGAATACTCCCAAACTCATTCTATGANGTGAAACAAATACTAACAGAATTCAAGGAGGAAATAGAATGCAATGCATTCATTTTGGAAGACTTTAACACACCACTCACTCCAAAGGACAGATCCATCAGACAGAAAATAAATAAGGACACAGAAGCACTGAACAACACACTAGAATGGATGGACCTAATAGACATCTATAGAACTCTACATCCAAAAGCAACAGGATACACATTCTTCTCAAGTGTACATGGAACATTCTCCAGAATATACCACATACTAGGCCACAAAAAGAGCCTCAGTAAATTCAAAAAGATTGAAATCCTACCAACCAACTTCTCAGACCACAAAGGTATAAAACTACAAATAAATTGTACAACGAAAGCAAACAGGCTCACAAACACATGGAGGCGTAATAACATGCTCCTAAATAATCAATGAATCAATGACCAAATTAAAATGAAGATCCAGCAATATAGGGAAACAAATGACAATAACAACACAAAGCCCCAACTTCTGTGGGACGCAGCAAAAGCAGTCTGAAGAGGAAAGTATATAGCAATCCAGGCATATTTAAAGAAGGAAAAACAATCCCAAATCAATAGTCTAATGTCACAATTATTAAAATTGGAAAAAGAAGAACAAATGAAGCCTAAGGTCAGCAGACGGAGGGACATAATAAAGATTAGAGAAGAAATAAATAAAATTCAGAAGAATAAACAATAGAAAAAAATCAATGAAACCAAGAGCTGGTTCTTTGAGAGAATAAACAAAATAGATAAGCCTCTAGCCAGACTTATTACGAGAAAAAGAGAGGCAACACACATCAACAGAATCAGAAATGAGAAAGGAAAAATCACGACAGACCCCACAGAAATACAAAGAATTACTAGACAGTGTTATGAAAACCTATATGCTAACAAGCTGGAAAACTTGGAGAAATGGACAACTTCCTAGAAAAATACAACCTTAAAAGAATGACCCAGAAAGAAACAGAAAATCTAAACAGACCAATTACCAACAATGAAATAGAAGTGGTAATCAAAAAACTACCCAAGAACAAAATCCCCAGGCCAGATGGATTTACCTCAGAATTTTACCAGACATACAGAAAAGACATTATATCCATTCTCCTTAAAGTTTTCCAAAAAATAGAAGAGGAGGGAATACTCCCAAACTCATTCTATGAAGCCAACATCACCCTAATACCAAAACCAGGCAAAGACCCCACCAAAAAAGAAAACTACAGACCAATACCCCTGATGATCGTAGATGCAAAAACACTCAACAAAATATTAGCAAACCAAATTCAAAAATACATAAGAGGATCATACACCATGACCAAGAGGGATTCATCCCAGGGATGCAAGGATGGTACAACATTAGAAAATGCATTAACATCATCCATCACATCAACAAAAAGAAGGACAAAAACCACATGATCATCTCCATAGATGCTGAAAAAGCGTTTGACAAAATTCAACAT